CAAGTTATAGGTGATGTGTGCGTGTGACACACGTAACAACAGACCCCACCATGCACAACTATGATGCACCAATAAAAACATGGAAATTTTTTTTTTAAAAAAAAGGTTCTACCACTTTCCAAAAGTACCAAGCTGAGGACCAAACTGTCACACAAGGTTTCGGGGCCATTCCAGATCCCCATGGTGGCACTTGTGCGTTTCAGTTTGGGGTGACCATGAACAAAGCTGCGCTGGGGCTTCATTACACTAGGACGGAGGTGGGGGAGTGGGACTGCCGGTTGTGACCCGAGTGTCACCGGCTGAATTCTGCAGACTGGTTTCCCCCTGCGGGTCTGAGGTCCCAGGTGGCCGCACTCTGTGACTTAGGGCACAGGTTTCCCTATTCCACGGTCCAGGGCTGCAGGGGGTCTCCCTGTGCTTTCCGTTTCCTCGCTGGCTCGCCACCTGTGTATCTTCTCTGGTGACTCAAATAGTTTTCCCACCTTTATTTATTAATATGTTAAAAAAATGCGTCCTAATTAGACTCCACGCTCCGTTCCTCGTTTCCCTGGTGTCCTCGCGCCGGGACACCTCCTTCCCTTTGGTCCTCGTATCCCCGCAGCCTCCTCTGGTCCGTGACTTTCCTTGTTTAGAAGTGTCTTAGGGCTTTGTTGGGTGGGTGTTGGTGACAGGTGTGGCGTCACCTTCCGAGCCGCTGGCCTGGGCATGGGGCTTCCAGCCGCACTGCTGCAGAGTGGCAGCCCCTGGCGCACAGACGTGTCCCACGCGCTGGCCGAGATGTCCCCGGTTCCTGCTGTCCCTCTCCTTGGAGGTAAAACAGGGGACCCCGGAGCTCTGGACAGAGGCCAGTGGTTCCTCCCCGCCCCCACAGGGCTGTCCGACAGGTGGGTTTGGCCAGTGCCCTGGGGTAGCGCCAGGCCCCGCGGGCTCTGGGGTTTAAGGAGGTTCCGTGGCCACTGCGCATCGGCCACGGGCGTGGGGCCGGCTGGCCCAGAACAGCGGGGAGCGGCATGAACCCCACAAGGCAGGTGTTTGGAGGGAAAATAGATGTGATCAAAACCAAGGGAGATAAAATGTCTCAGACCCTGTAACCCTGGGCTCCCGGGCACGGCCAGTGCGCAGCCGCACACACCATGCCCCCCCCACCCCCAGGCATGTGCAGGGGTAGCCCTTGACCACGCCCCCACACAACTGCGCCTGCGCAAGGCACCACTCCTGTGCCCAGGCTAGACCATGGCCCCATGCACACTCCACAGACCCATCTGCGAGCGGTGCACGTGTGTCCCCACACCCACCCCGACAGCAGACTCCACCTCCTGCTTCTCCTTCCTCCCTGGCCCTGCCCTTCTCCTTTCCTGTACCTCACGACCTGGGGTGCACATCCAGGGAAAATGCCAATAGAACTCCCAGCACCCCAACTCGCCAAACGACTGTAGAAACGCACCCTAACAAAAGGGCTCCCTAGATTGAATGATGTTGGGTTGAACAAAGACGAGCCGGTGTGGCTAAGGGGAGGAGGACGCTCCGCCATCGAGCTGAAACCCCCCAGCCAGGGCCGGGTGGCCTGGAAACAGGGGGCTCCGTGGTGTGGGCCTGGGTGTCCCCAGAGGAGCCGGCGAGGAGGGGGCCCCCGCCTATGGCTCCTGGGGAACAGTGAGAGCTTGGGCCGAATGCTCATCAGAGGGGTGCACGGAGTTAACATGGGCCACCCGGGTGTGGGGGCCTCGGGGCAGGCCTGGCATTTGGGGTCACCCATGCGCCCTGACTTGATTCCTCTCAGCAGTCAGGGGCTTTTTCCGGACTCACACTGGGGAAGCTGCCCACTTGCCAAGGTCTCCGCTTGGCACCAGAATCACGAGCCACCACACACCTTTGTAGATTCAAACAGCAATTCTTTATTCCAGCTCTCACACCGCCTCCACACAGGTCCAGGGGCAATCCCCATCTCCCGCACAATTCAAGTCCTAAATACTTTCTCTCCAGAGAACTCAGCGGGAACTCAGGCAGGAGGCACGCCCTACTCCCAGCAGGAATAATCTTCAACCTCCAACTTCCCTAAAACTCCTATTGTCACGTCCTAAACCCAAGGATGGGGATACTTCCTGCAGGGTACACCCTAATCCTGGATCCACCCTGGTGATTGAGCAGGGTCACCTTTCTCAAACACACAAGCAAGGTCGCAGCAAATTTCCAAGGCAAGTCCATTTAACGTGGGGTACGCTGGCAAGGATTTCGATGCGTCATTCCTACTTGGTAATGGCTCTCAGCACCCACTGAGGTTACATTGCCCCAGCCCCACCACCTTGGCCCTGGAAGGGCCCCACCAGGCCCCTTCCTGCTCTAGGCACAGTGGCCAGCAGGTCTGGGGTCCATGTGAGGCTGCTGCAGTGGGTCCCAAGAAGGCAGCCCATGGATGGTGCCTTGGACCCAGGCGGGCCCTGGTACTGTTTAGCCTGGTCCGGTGCTGGGCCTGGGCCTGGAGAAGGCTCCCTGGCAGCGAGTGCCCTGGGTGCTTCCCTCCACTGCAGGGTGCTGCCTTCCCTGGATCTCCGGACACACACAGACACACACACACACACACACACTCTATCTCTTGCTCTCTCTCTCTCTCTTTTTGGTATCTGAGATTGAACAGGAGCAGTCCACCACTGAGCCACATCCCCAGCCCTTTTTAATATTTTATTTAGAGGTGGGGTCTCACTGAGTGCTTAGCACCTCACTAAGTTGCTGAGGCTGGCTTTGAACTTATGATCCTCCTGCCTCAGCCTCCCAGGCTGCTGGGATTCTAGGCGTGCACCACCACACCTTGCTGGGACTCCACCTCCTGCTTCTCCTTCCTCCCTGGCCCTTCTCCTTTCCTGCCCGTGTCCCTCGAGATCTGTGTTGGTCCTTCTTCTTCCCGCTGTCCCTCAGTCATTTACCACAGGCTGTGAACCCTGGATGGTGACATGCATTTCTACATTCCTCTTTTTAATGCGTCTGGTCTGCTTTATTCTCTCCATGTAGCAGGATGAACTGGTTCCTTCATTTGCGAGGTTAATACTTTCTGCGCATGTGCTGTAGGGGGCCAGCACACAGTGGGTGCACAAAGTCAGCTGGGCAGAACAAGAGCCCGGTAAGGTTTCTTGTTAGAAATTGTTCATTGATTCTTAGGCAGCCTCTCACTGCAACTCTGCTGCTGCCCCACCCTACGCTAAAGCCCTGAGCAGAGAAGGGACACGTGACGGCTGTGTCCTCAGGGAACTGTTATTCTGTAGGCAGAGCTGGACAGTGAGGCTGGGTTAGACACTAGTCAGCAAGCATAGGCAGTCACTGGAGAGGTGAGCGGGGGACAGGGGCTGTGCATTCCGGGAGGGCTTCCTGGAGGAGGAGTGGAGGCATCATTGGATGTTGGAGTTCAACTGGAAAAGAGGGGTGTTCCAGGCAGGGGTTATGGGGGGCCAAGAGGCCAGTGGTCTCTGGTCAGGAGTAACCGGGCCTGAGTGGCAGGATCTCCTCTGTTCTCAGTGGCTATCCCGAGGGCAGTGAGGCTGGATTCTGAGCAGCACCAGGCCAGGCTGGTTGTCCAGCCAGACCCTCCAGATTATTTCTTTGAGAGGAACCTGCTGGCTTCCTGTTGGGGCCCAGCATGCTGCCCACCTCGTCCCCATCATGCACCTGTCTCAAATGAGCCACATGAAAAGCAGGAGCCCGGAGGAGGGCAGCCTGTGGAGGGGCCACCACATCCACGTGGCTGTCGGGAAGGCCCAGGAGCATCGAGCAGACTGCAGGCCACAGAGCCGGGCGGCTCTGAGGGCACAAGGTCCACCCCTGGGGTCAGACAGCCCCGGCACCCGAGCTGAGGGACAGCACCTGTGGAGGTGCTGCGGGGGCGGAGGCCGAGGCGGAACCCAAGCCTGGGATCTGAGGCCCCGCACGGGGAGGGCCGTGGCTTGTCGTCGGAGCAGGTGGGGGCTGCAGAATGTGGAGGAGCTTTTCTTTATCCTCTAAACTGGAGACAGTCTCAGGATTTAAAGCGAGTGACTAGTACTCAAAGACGCTCCAGTTTGGAGGGATTTCTTCCATCTTCCTCCAGAAGCCGTCCCTCCGCCCAGGCCCCCGCCCTCCCCTCCCCCTCCCCCTCCCCCTCCTCCTCCCCCTCCAAGGTGAACAAGGCAGGAGGCGCCCCGCAGGCTGTGGCAGGGCCAGCCACCCCTGCTGGTCCTTCGCCCTCCGCGTGGGGTCTGCCCGCTGACGTAAGGTGCGTGGCCTCCTCTCCCACTCACCTGGCCTCAGTGGGGTCCGAGACGGGCAGAGCTGGGCCCTGGTTCCTGACTGTGGAGGTGGAGCTTCTGCATCCAGAGCCAGCTCCCTCTGGGCTTCTCAGGCTGTGCCATTCCCTCATCCCCCAGGATGGCCAGAGCAGGACCCCAGGATCCCTGAGGCCCTGCATTCCTTCTCTCCCTGGGAACGGGGCCCACAGGGTAGAAAGCAGGAGTCCTGGGCTGAGGGGGTGCTGCGGATGAGCGGGCAGGTCCCACCTTCTCCCCAGCCCGGGTCTCCCTCAGGTTAAACCGGGGGTTGGGGTTGGTCCCCTAGCCCTGGCTTCTCTGAGACGGAGCTGCCCTGCTGGCCACAGTCCCCACTGTGGGGTGGTCACCGTCCCAGGTTGAGCCAGAGAAGACTGCGGGGGTCCCTGGGGTTCCAGGCTGGGGCCTGGGAGCAGCAGGAGGGACAAGGGCCACCCCCGTCTGGCCTCAGGAAGTTGCATAACGGAGATGTTTATTTTGGGTGAGGCTGGGTGGGATTTCTTTCCTTAAAAAAAAACCCCAAAACATAAAATTTATTTGTCTGCCAAGAAGATAGATATCTGTGCTGAAAGCTCCCAGCCCCGCTGCCAGCTGCAGTTTACATGAAGCTGTCACCGATCCGTGGTCAGCTGGTGTGCCTGGGCTCACATGGGTGTCATGTGTGATGCTCTGGGCCCTCACCATCCCGGTGGCTTCTATATGGGGCCAGGCATGGCCTCCAAAGCTGTCCCCAGACCTACTCTGGGCAGTCACCTCTGCCCGATTTTCCTCAATGCCATGGAGACAGCGGGGGACAGAGGTAAAGTGTCCCTCTCGGCTGCCCCGCTGCACCCAGAGCCAGGACGGAGAGTGACACCTCAGCCTCGGGGGTGGGGATGGAGTCCACCTGGGCTTGAGGACGCGTCCTGGCCTCTGAGCCCATTGCAGAAGAAGAGCTTGACTTGAGGGTGGAAGGGCGCTGCTCATTCCCACAGCGCGCATGCGCGTGCCAATCATCTGAGAGGCGCACGTGGAGTTTCAAATGCGCCCCGCTCTGATCAGCTGTGCGCATTGCTGCTCTCAGCCGGGTTCCTTGGCCCCAAGACGGGGGACTGTGGCTAGAGTGGGCCTCTCACCCACCTGCCCAGACGCCCCATCTCTGCCCCCCCACCCCGGGCATTTGTGCAGGCCGCTGTGCCCTGGGTCTGCCCCTCCAAAGACGTCACAGGGCTGGGGGCCTCTGGTGCCAACTGGGACAGGGGCTTGCAAGTCCAGACCAGCAACGGGAATCAACCACGGTGAGAGCCCGCGTGGCCAGCCCTGTGCTGAGAGCCCCTCCGTTCGCCCAGCCACGGTGGGGAAGACCCAACGGGTGTCCGTACCCCCATTTACAGAGGGGGAGGCCGAGGCATGGAGGTTGTCGGGAGCACAGAGCTGGAGTTGCAGGTGTGGGATTCGAACCCTGGCCCCAGGGCCCACACCCTGCACCCTGCCATGAGGCAACTATGCCCCCTCGGGACGTGACCAGGCCCCCTGGATGTGGACTGCTGTTCTCTGCACTCTCCTGCTGCCCCCTGCCCCAGCCCGGCCTCCATCTCCTCATCCTTGACCTGCAGGGCTTGACCCAGCTCCACACGGCCCTGAGCTTCTGGGGATTGGCCACGGGAGACCCCCTGGGTCACCAGGCGGAGGCTCCCAGCTGTGTACAGTCCCCCAGGCCCAGATGTTGGCCTCTGGTGGATGGTGCTGGACAGCCTCAGTCACAGTGGGCAGGACATGGCTTGGGAAAGGAAGTGAGGCCCGTGTCTCAGTTGTGTCCACTCCCAAGGAAGAAAGGCCCTGTGGCAGGTGGTGACCCCAGCAGTGACGTCCGGGGACAGAGGCTCCATAACGTCTTTGAACCTCGGATGAGACTAGGCTGCCCTGGTGACGGCCTCTCCTGGTGCCCGCAAAGCCCAGGGGCCAGACATGGCTACTGAGTTCTCCACTCCCCCGGGAGGCTAGGGCACCGGCCTGACCCTCCATGCCCAGAGGTGTCCTGCCCAGGGAGTCCTCTAGAGGAGGAGGGGGAGTCACGTCACAGGTCAGATGGGCCAGCTCAGAGCCAGGTGACACTGGGCTTCAGGAGGGAGGGGGCCTGCTCAGGCCTCAGGGCACGTTAATGGTGAGCGGGGGGTTAGAACCTGTGTCTCCTCTGGGAGGGGGACGGCGGGGCCAGCTCCTCTCCCCTCCGGCTTGACCCGGCCACTGTCTGACCTCGTTTCCTCTCCCTCAGCCAAAGAGAGCTCCCTGGGGGAGCCGGAGTTGCCCCCCGACCCTGACGCCGTGGGCATGGACAGCAGCTACCTCAGTGTGAAGGAGGCTGGGGTCAAGGGGCCCCAGGACCGGGCCGGCTCCGAGCTCCCCAGCCCCCTGGAGAAGGCGGACTCGGAGAGCAACAAGGGCAAGAAGCGGCGGAACCGCACCACCTTCACCAGCTACCAGCTGGAGGAGCTGGAGAAGGTCTTCCAGAAGACGCACTACCCCGACGTGTACGCGCGCGAGCAGCTGGCCATGAGGACCGACCTCACCGAGGCCCGCGTGCAGGTCAGTGGGGCCCGGGCGGGGCCCGGAGCAGGGGCTGGGGCCATGGCCTCCGTGCCCAGAGGCCACCCCTCAGAGGCTGGGGCTCCCCAGCACCGTGTGCCCAGCCACGTCAGTACAGGCCCCTCTGCTGGGGAGGGGGCAAAAGAAGCAGGGCCACAGCCGAGGGGTAGGAGCCCGCTGCCTGGACCCAGATCCCTGTGAGAAGGAGCAGGGTGGCCGCCCCAGCTCTGGGAGGCCTGGGAGACACAGGCGTCCACGGCAACCCACGGCAGAAGCAGAACAGCCCAGGTCTTCCCCACGCCTGGGTGGCTGCCTCCTCCTGCCTCTGACAGGTCCCAAGGCCACACATCTGGGGAGTATCCCCGGCCCTCGTGCTACGCAGTAGGCTCCGCCACCGCCCAACTCCAAAGTCCCCACCAGCCCTCACAACACAACTCCGCCACACAACTCAGACCAACACATTCCACAACCCAGCCACCTCGGCCTCACACACGGCCAAACCAGGCCGCCCCGCCACACCGTCCACTTGATCTTTATAGAACTGATGAGCGGCTTAAAGGACTTCACCTCCTGCCCCAGAACCTGAATCCCTTAAGTGGTCATCTGTGTCCCCACCACCCAGGCAAGGTTGAACTCAGAGCAACGAGGGCAAGACACAGACATCTGCAGAGCCATCGACCTCTGAGAAGACATGTGTCCCCTTCCCCGCGTGAGGTCATAGCAAAGAAAGACCTAAAAGTGAAGTGCTCTCAATAGCCTCAAACAAGTGGCAAAAATCACAGGCTAAAGTTCGAGCTTTGGTGTAACACAAAATAAATCTCACACGCAGGCTGTTTCCCCAGCCCAGAGCATGTCAGAAGACGCAGGCGGGAGCCTGGTGCGGTGGCACGCGTCTGTAATCCCAGCAATTCAGGAGGCTGAGGCGGGAGGATCACAAGTTTGAGGCCAGCCTCAGCAATTTAGTGAGACCCTAAGCAGCTTAGCAAGACCCAAAACAAAACAAACAAATGAATAAATAAATAAAATCAAAAGGGCTGGGCTGTGGCTCAGTGGTAGATCGCCCTGAATTCCATCCCTGCACCAATTTAGCTATGGCAGACAGAATTGTCACATGGCAGTTTTCCCCTCCAGGGGGCCAGAAAAATCAGCAGCCCGAGTACAAAGAGGATTTTTCTCTTTAATCAGCGCAGCACAGTGCCACCCAGCTGTATGGACCCCCGAGACCCCTGTGCCCCTCCACAGGCCCCAGGCACTGGGGCTGGGACATGCCACTTAGGGTGGCTCTAAGGCACGTGAGAGCTCCCGACGCCAGCCACGTGCTGGAGGATCGGGCCCAGGAAGGCATCGGAAATCCAGTCCAGAACTTTCCATGCACAACGTCCAGCAGGTACCAATGGACCTGTGCTCTCCAGGCTGCGGCCACTCAGAGCGACTCTGGTGTCACGTGGTCGAGCCTATGTGAAGGGGGGGGGCAGGTGGCCTGGGCTTTACTGCCTCTCAGAGGCTCACCTGCACGGCTGTGGGAGGAGCCCCACCCAGCACCCGACCTCAGCTGCAGCTGACGGACTGGGGACAGCTGCCTGAGTAGGTGAGAGGACGCCCCTGTCAGGAGACCCCGCAGTGCTGTGCTCTCCTTCACTTCCGCACGCGTGTGCCTGAGTGTGCACGTGCGGTGCATGTGCGAGTGTGTGTGTGTGTGTGTGTGTGTGTTGCACCCAGGCTTCCTAAAGAAGGACAGCCCATTCCCCAGGAGCACAGGACAGCCTGGGATCACAGAGCATGTGTTAGCCACCGCCGTACACTGCAGATGGAATATTCTTCCTGCATACACATACACAGGCCTCCTTCCAGAACAGAGTCGAACAGTTAAAGATTTCTCACTTTGATCTAAGATAAAGAATGGTGTCGTGAAACGGGAGGTAATCATCTCAGATACCTTGGCTAAGGCTCACAGTTGGCATTAAGCAAGAATTGTGAGCTTCCTGGCGGCCAAAGCAGAAAGAGAAAGTCTGATGTCGCCTAGCTTACCCTCTAACGGGAAGATGATGGGACACCGAATGGTGGTTCTGGAAAGGATCCCTTGACCTTCTGATTTGATAGAGAAAGAAGACGCAGAGGTGGGAAGAGACGGTCTAAAGTGAAGAGTGACCCAGTGGCACTCCCGCCTTCCCGTCCTGGGTTCCTTGACTTCGCTGTCCCAGGACACAAGCCAGATTGTTCTGAGGCTCTCCTTTGTGCACAGGCAGCAAGGTGGGTGGGATGGCCATGTGCGTCAGACCTCTGGGCTGCACTCCGAGTCTGCAGGGCCCTGGGGCCGTGGTGGAGCCCCAGGCCTCCTCTGCAGCCCCTCTCAGCTGGTGGTGAGCCCGCGGCCTGGCGTGGTGTGGTGGTGGGACGAGGGCCTCGGGTCCCAGGATGGACTTTTCCTGGGAAGAAGCCGGGCCTGGCCCTGCTCCAGGGGCCCGAGGGCCTCTCTGCTGTCTGGGATTCCAGTCTCCCTCCGCAGCTGGTGTGTCTGAAGACAATAAGAGGGGCCTCCCGCCCTGAGCCACCCGCCCTGGCCCCAGATGGGCTGCGGTTACAAGGCCTCCGCCAAGACAGTGGGCCCTGCACCGCCTGGTCCTGGGAGAGGCCCGTGCTGAGTGGGCCCAGCCCCGGGTGGGCCAGGAGCGGGGTGGTCCTGGGCGCGACGTTCAGGATGGGAGATGACGGGGAGCACGGTGGGCTCTCCTCCCGTCTGGGCTGTCAGAGGGGACCGGCCTGTGAGCGCAGAGGCCCGCTGCAGGCCAGGGAGGAAGGTGAGCATGAGGCCAGAGGCCCCTCACCGCCCAGGGCACGGAAGGACGTGGAGCCCGCCATGCCAACCTGGGGGGGCCGTGATCTGGCCTCACCTGGGGTCAAAGGACCGCTGAGGAGGGGGCAGGCCTGCTCCTGGCCCTGCCCCCACACAACACCCCCTCGCACAGCCCTGCCTGGTCCTCAGGAGAACCCTGGGCCTCGCCCCACCCCCTCCCGGCTCTCTGCCCCCAAGGCCCCACACTCCACATGGGGCTGACTGTAGGCCCCTTGGCCAGACACCAGACACCCTCTTCCCTCCACACCCACCTAGGGTGACCCGCCCTCCTCCACATTCCCAAGGCCCAGGGGACCTGAGCCCAGAGACACCAGGAGAGGCAGTGCCATAAAGGGCCCCTGCCTCTGCCCCCGCTCCCCGTGGAAAGAAAGAGCCACAGATCTCCATGCTCCGGAGGTCCCCTCCCCCAGCTCTCCCCAGAAAGCCCTGGGAGGCTGAGGAAGAAGCGGAAAGGCTGAGCTCAGCCTGCAGGAAATTAAACATGAAATGAAAACAAGCTCCTCTGATTCACTCTCCCATCCTGCCCCGCCCCCACCCAGCCACTGATAAAGGGGATCCCGTTTCAGCATCGCTGAGAGCAGACCCGCGTGCCCCTGGCTCCCAGTGGGCGGCCTGGGCCTGGACCCAGGCTCCAGGGGGAAGAGAGGCCCCCGGGGGCTCCAGGGCAGGGCCTGAGACCCCAAGCCCAGGAGGGGGCTGGTCTTCGGGGAGGTCACAGGAAGGGTGCTGTGCGCGCGTGTGTGTGTGTGTGTGTGTGTGTGTGTGTGTGTGTGTGTGTGTGCGCGCGCGCGTGCGCTCTCGGGAGCATACATGTGGACGTGGGATTAGGAAGGGGAAGTGCTCTGGAGCAGGAAGCGCCATCCTGCGCCCTGCCCTGCCCCCACTAACCAAGACACACATCCCCCTCAGTGACCTCCCCCCAGGAGCAGGAGGCAGCCAGGAGGGCAGCGAGGAGGGCCAGGAACCCGCTAGGGCTCCCTGCAGGCTCCTGTGGGCCCTGTCCTGGTCACACTGACAGGTCCTGCTCCACAGAGGGAGGAGCCGAGCCGGTGGCCACGCAGGCCCTAGACACCACGTTAGACCCTGCACAGCCAGGCCGCGCTGCGGGAGCCCCTCAGTGGCTCCGGGGAAGCTCCTGGGAAGCTCCGGGGCTCCCAGCAGAGGGTTGGAGAGGCAGCTCCCTGTCCCTAGGGCGGCAGCCGTCCCAGTGGGTGGGGAGGGCGTCCACCTGGCCCCTCAGGAAAGCCAGGTCCTGGGAGGCCAGGGCTGGGAGAGCTTGAAGAGGCGGTGCTCCATCCCTCTGGCAGTGCGCTGCGGGGCACGCCCTCTTGCATCTGAGCCTGTGAAGTGCCCGTTGGCAGGGCGCAGTAGGCTGGCAGACAGCTCCCTTGGGGGAGCGCCCAGGGCTGAAGCCACCCGGCCAGAAGCCGAGTCCTCCCCTCGCTCCCCCTCCCTCCTCTGCCCCCCCCCCAACTCCTCCATCACAGTCAAGGCCAGAGGTAGCCAGCCCCAAGGTGAGCCCTTGGCCATGAGCCTGGAGAAGGCGCTCGGCCTGCCAGAAAGGCTCCCGCCACGGAACAGGACCAGCCACTCAGTCCCAGCACCAGCCCATGCACCTAGCCAGGGCCTCTCCTCCCAGCCAGGTGTACGCCAGGCCCCTCGGCACAGATTTCACCATGGCCACTGTGGATAGCATGGGGGACAGAGCCCTCCCTTGGCATTGAGGCCCCCACAATGCGACTCTAGCTCTGCGTCTCCCCTTCCACCATGTCCCCCAGAGTGGCCTCCTCAGGCCTCCTGGACATGTCTCGCTGTCCTCAGGTCAGGGCTTCCCTCCTTCCAGGCCCAGTGCTGTCTCCCAGGGGCCTCCCGACAGCTTCCCACGGGACCCCCCGTACCCCCAGGGCCTTACCTATGGTAACGCGGGCAACTTCTGAGCTGGGAGACCATTCCCAGCCCCAAGGCTGCAGGGAGGCGGGAGCTGGATCTGGGCCGTCGGGACTGGCTTTGTGGAGAGCTTCGCCCAAACTCTGCCTTTCTAGAAGGGATTTCTAGAGGGGTGTGTGAGGCCTTTAGCTGTTCTCCCAGGAAGCCTGGCCCACCGCAGAGCGGGCGGCACCTTCTAGGGGCTGGTTAGGTGACTGCTAAGATGACCGGGACTCGTTTCCTGTGTGTGACATTGGCCTGCTCTAGAGCTTCGACAAATGGGGTTCCTGGCTCAGTGAAGATGATTCTAGATCGTGAGCTCTGGAGACAGACGGAGGCAGTTCATCTGAGGTTCTGTGACCCCGACACATGCCCTGCGACAGGTGTGGCTTGGGGAACACTAGGACCAGGGCTCCGGGTGGGCCTGACGCTGTGGCACTCCTGTCCTGCAGGTCTGGTTCCAGAACCGGAGGGCCAAGTGGAGGAAGAGGGAGCGCTTCGGGCAGATGCAGCAGGTGCGGACCCACTTCTCCACGGCCTACGAGCTGCCCCTGCTCACCCGGGCTGAGAACTACGCGCAGGTGAGGCCCGCACCCAGGCCCTGGTGAGGAGAGTACCCTTGGGAAGAGCCTGGGGCCCTGAGGTGGCTCTCAGGCTCCAGCTGGCCTTAGTCCCCTCCCAGGTGTATGCCAACTTGTCTCTGCCGTGTGGCGCCACAGCTGTTTCTGCCTGGGGTCATCACGAGTGCCTGGGCTTCGGGGAGGGGAGGTGGGGGCGAGAGTGGCCTTCTCTGCTTCGCTGGCCACTCTTTCTATGGGCAGAGGGACCAAGGCAAGCGGAAGGCCAGGGCCCTCCAGGCCTCAGTGGAATTCAGAGTGTCCCTAGCAAAGGGGCTTCTAAGATCTGGAGGGCTTATGGCCAGGCTGGGACGCCCATGGACTCTGAGCGCCAGGACCACAGTCCTTCCCAGGCCCACGTCCTGCCCATTTCTTGAGGTCCCCAGCTCTCCAGCCTCAGTTTCTTCCCTGTAAATGGGGCAAGATGAAAGACTCTGCCTCTGTCCCCTTGTCAGGCTTCCACGGGTCAAACCTGGATGATGCAAAGGCACCTTGGGGTCACAGCTTCCCAGAGGAGCTTGCTGGGCAGGGACTTGGTCTCCAGGCCCATGACCCCTTGGCCCCTGGATGTCTGTGAGCCAGACCTGAGCCAGGGTCCCAGAGTCCTCAGTGAGGTGACAAGGGACCAGAGCATTGTGAGTGAAGCCAGGCACCCAGGACACTTGCACCGATGTAGTTTTGGCCGAGTCCACTCCTGACACCCTTCACCTGTCTGGCAGAGGCCCTTCCCTCCTGCATGGTCTCCAGCTCAGCCCCAGGTCTTGCCCCATCCCCAGCCCCATCTCCCGGGCAGCGGCGGCACAGGTGCCCCTAAGACCCTTCCTCCTCCCTGTGCTCTGCGGGCCGCTGATCCTCGGCTCCCCACCTGGACCAGCTCCACACCTCCCGCCACCAGCCCAGGATTCATGGGGCGGGGGCAGGGGTCAGGCCTGGAGTGAGGCTGAGGAATGCGGTGTCTCCCGTGGGCACCACCTGCCCGGGCCCCTCTGCATTCTTTCTTCTCCCTCTCACCGCCCTCCCACCGTAACCCAGCCTCCCACTGTCCTGGGAGGAGGAAGCTCAGCCCTGGCTGTTGGGCTTGATCGCTGCCATCTGCGCTCGGGGCTGGAGGGGGAAGCCCACACCGGGCGCTGCTCATCTCTCACCTGCAGCCCCCAAGCCCCAGGCCCAGATTGCTTCTCCGACAGGGACCAAGCAGCCCACTTCCTGGGCTCACAGGGAGGGCAGCAAGGCTACTCTGCAGGCACTCCTTGATGTCCTTAGAACACTCGGTGGGATCCGAGTCCAGCTCCCTGCAGTGTGTCCACACGAGGGAGAGGGCAGGCTAGCAGAAGCCTGCCAAGGCCAGAAGAATCCAAGCGTGTGGCTGCGAGGCGCACAGCCTGCTCCTCAAAGCTGGTCCTCTGCACCCCAGATCTGCTTCCTGGAAAACGCTTAGAGGCCAGAGGAAGGTGGACACGCAGAGTGGGACTGGGGGGATCACAGTTGTGCTGATGGGAGATGAGGCGTCCAGCCGTGGCCCTATCTGTCCACACCTGAGGCGGCCCCTCCCAGCCTGGGTTGGCTTAGGCCTCTGCTTCCACCACAGCTGGGGAGCCCGGAGCCTGCGTTCCCGACGCCAGGCACTCTGAGCCGAGGTCAGCTCACCTCCTAGGCCTGCGGGAGGGACAGAGGTGACTGACGCGGTTGCTGAAATCAGGACAGCCTTTTGCTGACCACCTTAGAGCGTACACCCCACCCCACAGGGCAGCTAGTGTCCCTCAAGGTTAGACGCTCCAGCACAGGTCCTCTGTGACCAGGGACCAGGAGGCGGAGAGGTGGTTGGAGGGGCCCTTCAGCAGCCCTGACTCCTCTCCTGCGCTCTCTCCAGATTCAGAACCCGTCCTGGATCAGCAACAACGGGGCTGCCTCGCCGGTGCCGGCCTGTGTGGTCCCCTGTGACCCGGTGCCTGCCTGCATGTCCCCTCACGCCCACCCCCCTGGCTCTGGGGCCAGCGGTGTCACCGACTTCCTGAGTGTCTCTGGGGCTGGCAGCCACGTGGGCCAGACGCACATGGGCAGCCTGTTCGGAGCGGCTGGCCTCAGCCCGGGCCTCAACGGCTATGAGCTCAATGGCGAGCCGGACCGCAAGACCTCGAGCATCGCGGCGCTGCGCATGAAGGCCAAGGAGCACAGTGCGGCCATCTCCTGGGCCACATGACAGGGCCCCTCCCGTCCGGCCCCGTGCCCTCCCCCACCTCGGGGCCCTGGCTCCGCCCAGGCTTCCCAGGCCCCCAGCCTCCCACCTAGGAACCTGGCCTGTCCAGGGGCCTGACCCTCAGCACTTTCAGCCACCCCGAGTCTGAGGCCCTGCGGACTGCTGGGAGGGAGGGGCAGCAGGCCAGCCGCCCGGCCCTGAGGTGGCCCTCTGCGCCCCACCAAGGCAGCGAGGAAGCCGGGGGGCCACGTCTTGCAGCTTGGCATCCATTGTAGACGGAAGGCCCTCTCCTCCTGCTCCCTGCCCAGTGTGACCTGGAATCCAACTAAGTCCCCTCCAGACCCAGAGTGTCGGCCGGGGCTTGTCCACTCTTCCCTTTTCTGTGGGGTCCACTGGTCACCAGGCCGATGGTTGTGCACTTGAGGCCACCCTGCAGAGTTGGCTCCTGCCCCCACCTGCTGGCCCTTCCCCTCCCTGAAAGCACACGGAACCCCACTTCAAGACCCAGGATCCGCCCGCGCTGGCCATCCCTGGGGATGGGAGGACCCTGCTGCCATCCAGCATCACCGGCAGCCAGGGGGTGGCCTGGCCTGGCCAGGGGAGACGCATGCCAGCCTCCTCAAGGGACATGCTGCCTCTGGTGGACACTGCAGGGGAGAGTCGGGTCTGGGGGGCTGAGGAGTAGACCCCAAGGGTCCCCATGGTGCTGGAGGGAGGAAGGCAGGGCACGGGGAAGCGCCGGGTGAGGCAGGGGCTCTGCAGCCCTTCCTCTGTGCTGCCGGATGGCCATCATCACAGTGAGGGTCCTGGGCTGTTCCACTCTCCACCCGGTCAGTGCTGCCCCTCCCTAGGGCCCTGCAGGAGGATCTGGTGCTCGTCCTTTCCTCACCTTGCCCTGGTCACTCACGGGGCTGCTCAGCAGTGTCCTGGAGTGGAAGGACCTACAACCCGGAACAGTAAGCTAGGTTTAGGCCCACGGTGGCTCTCTCTGCTGGACCTCCAGGCAGGTGACCCTTCCATCCTCAGACTAACCACGCCCTCTGCTGCAGGAGCGCACTGTCCAGAACCTTCCCCGGCAGGTGGCATTCACGTGTAAGGACGCCCTCCTGAAGCCAGGCTTCCTGCCTGCAGGAAGGGGGCTCCCTGTCTGCCTGACCTGCCCCCCACAGCCGGGGCTTGGCGGCAGTCCTCCTGAGCTTGTGTCACAGTAGCCGTCCCTGAGGCAGGTCCCTGAGGCAGTCACACCCTCCCTGGGAAAAGCCTGTGTCTTTTGTACTTGCTACCTGTCCACAAGGAGGGCCGGGCCACCAGGCTCAGGGTGGGACACAGAGTGAGCCCGGGTGGGGCTGGGGGAGAGCGGGCCTGAGGAGCAAGCGCCCTGGGGCTGCCACTTGTCTGAGGTGCAGGGGGTGGAGTCTCCTCCCCTGTGTCCTCGCCTGCTCCAGACCCGAGAGGAGGATCTGGCTTGGGCTTCCCCTGGGATGAGAAAGACCACTCTAAACCACAGCTGTCCCTTCACCTTGGAGAGGTGACAAGGGTCTTGGACAGTGCATGGAATGTTCCTCAGCCTTGGCTTTCCGGGTGTCAAGTGCTGGGGATCTTGGGGTGACTCAGATCTGAGGTCCATGGAAATAACTCCTTCTCCCCAGAATCTAGCTCAGGAGAGGACGCTCATGGCGGGGTGGTCCCCTGCTCCTTCTCAGTGCTCTGGTGGCTGGGGAGGGCCACGGGAGTACCTTCCACCACAGCTGTCTTCTCCCCTGGAGAGAATTGGCACCAAGAGCAGGGGAACAGGACAGTCCCAGGAGAGGGAGGGAAGGAGGACTCTTGGTGGATTCTTCCAGAAAGGGCTTCTGGCATTCAGTCCTCTTGTGTCTGCTTTTTGGCCAAGCTAGATCCGAGCCAGGCAAACTTCAACCCCAAAGAACAAAAAGCCCCTATTAGGAAAAGGCTCTGTGGCTATGGCCGCCGCCTGCCCTCCGCCGCAGCCAGGAAGTGTCGATGACTAGACATGCGGGTGGGAAGTGGCCCTGTGCATCTCCCCCAGGCCTGTCCCGTGAGCCTGTCCCAGCCCTCCAGGGTCCCTCTAACCACTCTAAGACCCCACAGCCTCTGGGTGGAGAGGAAGTCCACACCCTCAGTCACTATAGTCCTCGCACCCAGAGAAGAGTGACCCGGGCCTAAGTGAGAAGTAACTGGGGCCTGAAAGAGAGGGCCCTGGAGCCAGGTGGCCGGCGCCATGTGGCGCTCCCTGATGCCCCATTGCATCTCCCGGGCAGCCGAGTTCTCCAGGAAAGAACTGCGGGGCCTGGCCCCTTCCCAGCTGGGTCCCCACAGCGGCCCGAGGTGCCAAGCCGGTTGGCAGACTGTGCCCCTGGCTTCCTGCGGGAGGACCAGGGAGCTCTACCTGCTGCAGGGTTCGCTGCTAAGCCACTCCGCTGGGAGAGGGGAGGATGTCCTTTGGCTATTGCCCAACGTCCATAGAGACGGCCACTTTCAGATGAAGTCACGGGTAGGTGGCAGCTGCATGGGCAGTGTCCCCAGCAGGGCGCGTGGCTCGGCCTCCAAGGCTCCTCCTGAGGTGCTGCTACCACCCGGGCCCTCCTCCAGGGCCTGGGCCAGAGAGCTGGGGGTGCCGAGAGGGGTGACTTCAGCGTGAAGTGGCACTTCCAGGACGTGGGCTTTCAAACCTCCCCTTGAGTTCTTTTAGCTGTACTTGACTCTCTGCTCTCTCAACCATGCTCCAGCTTTGGGAAGCATGGCGGCCGGGTTAGTTCAAAGACACTGCTGGGGGCAGGAGCACAAGAGCTGAGGGCGTCCCCCGCACACGCCTCTGTGACCACGCTGGACCCAGCTCCAGTGCCCCACTCCCCCAATTTGGCCGGATAGACAAGGAACACTTCCACGAGAACCACCATGCGTCCCGCGTCGCGCGCTCACTCGGGCTGCACCTGGGGAGACCATCTCTGAGAGACATCGGTGGCCCCCGGTCTGTTGGAGGGCCCTGACCGCCAGGCGCAGAGGCAGACAGGCCCGGCTGGGGGAGGATGGTGGCGAACTGGCCCCCAGGATAATAAACCACGATTGTACAATTGAAAGAAGAGGACAAAAGGCCCACTTCCAAAAGTCACATCGACCCTGCTTCACGGATTGGGGATGCTGCAGGGAGGAAAGGTGCCCCCACTGGACAATATCGACGGCATTGAAGCCGACTTTCCTGCGCTCCCGGTCCTGTCTGTGCCCCCCACTCTCACACAGAGCTAGGTCTTGATACTACTGATTTTGAAGGACGGTTTTCAGCGTCTGATCTGTTTGCCGTGGTTGGGGAGAGCCGAGTGCTAGAAGAACCAGAGCCTCAACCAGTACTTACTGTTCCCATTGTAAGATATTTTAACCCCGTATAAATGCAACTTTCCCTGTAGCTTAATGGCCTGGGGTGGAATATTAAGAATATATATTAAAAATACATTAAAAATTCAGAAAAATGTAAAAAAAAAAAATGAGGTCCGTTCCATAAAGTTTCACTGCCTATACCACCATGTAACTACATTATAGCAAATATTAAAAGAAACGTTCTTGCCTTTTAAAGTAAGTTATTGCACTTACATCTTCTGGGGAGGGGAGGAACTGGGTGAGAAGGGGACTTAGGGGCTGAGGCGAGGGGCACCACAGAGCGGGGACAGCCGGATGCGCCCAGCACCCCCTTGTTGGGCACAGCCCAGACTGTTTGGATGTTGTTGTTTGCAATAAACTCCTTCTCCTTCCTCCTCTCAACTGGAATCTGTGTTTTGTTCCTGACTTGTGACAGATGAAATGTGATCAGAGGAGCCTCTGAAATCTCACATTAATTGAAGTCGGCAAAAAATACTAACAGTGCCCTTTTGAACTGCTGACACAGTGCAGAATGGATTACCAGGCTAGATTAACAACAGGTGGCGGCCGATGCTCCTGCACAAAGGGGTACGTGGCCCGTGAGGGTCTGCGACCCCCCCTCGTCCCTTGCACAGCTTGAGGGGGCAGGGGCACCTCTCAGGCAGCGGAAGGGGTCTTGGCGGCAGCTTCTGACCCCCCTCTGGGGCGTCTCGGGTGCAGACCACGCCTGGAAGGTCTCCTGAGCAGCACTCTGTGTCCCGGATGACACGGTGCCACTGTTTCCACGGTTGTTCTGGAAGCAGGAGAGGAGCCAGGGCTTGGAGGTCCTGCTGCTTGGCACCAAGAGGACAGGACAGGCCTCCCGGAGAGGCAGGCCACAGCCGGGCCCTGCCACTTTATGGCAGAGGGGACTTTCCTGTAGGAATGGAGTTTTTAAAATCAGGCTCTAAAGAAAAAAGATGAAGTTCCTGCTGCGGCTCCTGCACCAAGTGACTCTGGAGGGGCGTTGGCCTCTCTGTGAGAGGCAGGGAGCCGGTTTCTTTTTTTTAAACCAAACTGGCCAACTCTTACTTCCCCCACCTGAACGTGGAATGGCCCTGCCCCTGTCTTGTTCCCCAACTTGAGCAGGTCTAGTGGCTCATCTACATGCATGGTCTTTTGTAAGTTGATGTGGCATGGTGACAGAAGGACCATGACTTCCCAGCTGTGAGTGCCACAGGAAACCCCTCCTCAGCCTCTCCTTCCTCTCCTTGTCCTTCTTGAAGCCGCATCTTAGATTTGGTTCCTGTGGGGAGTACATTCATGTTCACTGCAGCCGCTGGGTTTCAGGTGGGCCTGGAAACTTGTTTATGAAGACGACAGCTGTCACACATTAGGGCTCAAGGTCAGGTTCCACTGCTTCCCTGGCATCCATGAGGGACGGGGTCCAGAACCCCCTGTGGACACCCACATGCAAGGACACCAGGCCCTTATGACAAAATGGTGCCCACACCCACACGGCCCTCCCACATGCACTGGAGACCATCTCTGGAGGAGCTCGGTGGCCAGGCACGTGGAAGCGCTGTGGGGAAGTAACTGCCACGTTGTCAGGGAATCACAAGAACCAAAGCCGCCCAGGCTCAGTAGGGCTCAGGTTTCTCCGCCCCTCAGTTGGTTGAGTCTGTGGCTGTGGAACCAGAGGCGGAGGGTGACTGCAGCCTCGGGAGGACACGGCCGCTGGCCCCTCTGACTGTTGACTCAGGCCCAGCCCCTCACGGTGTGGCCACCCAGCACAGCTCATGGTTCCGGAGCCGTGTGGCCCTCCTAAATGGCAGGCTGCTGCGGACCCTGTGGGGTGCCTTCAACTGACAGCAGCCCCCAAGGCTCCCGCCCAGCTTCCCCAGAGCCATCTGTAATGGCCTCGGGACAGGATGCAGGTGTTACCTGTGACCTGCCCACTCCCCCTGTGCCTCCTGGGTCCTGACTGAATGAAAGAAACCTCCAGGTGCTGGGCTGTGACTCTGAGAGGAAGGGGGAGCGCAGGGGAGGCTCAGGGCCCCCTCAGGGAGGGCTGGAGGAGACGAGCCCCGGGATGGGCCTGGAGAGGACTCGGCTCCACTGGACTGTGCTCCTCCAGGGTTCACGCGCTCTCGTGATGAGCCGCGGCCTTGGCGGGCAGCCTGGCCTCTGTATTTAGTGTTCCTTGGGCCAGCACAGGCCAGCCCCCCAAGATGGCGCGAGAGGGCCTGTGTCCAGCAGCGCTCCTCTTAGAGCCTATCTCCACTTGATCTGTGGCTCAAATCTGAGTTCTCCTAGTCCCCCCTGGGCCATCTGTGAGTCCTACCTCCTGCACGCTCAGCCTGGGCCTCAGGGCAGCCTGCAGAGAACTCCTCCCCAGAAGAACCTGCTGGTGGCCAAGGCTCCGGCCACCCCAGCCTTGATCTAAGAGACTCATCGCCAACCTCTGGGCGCTGGGAGGTGGCTGGTCGCGGGACAGCAGAATCCCCCTGGCCAGCAGGGAGTGGGGCGCTTCTCCTTCCTGGTCCACACTTGCCTGCTCAGCAGCTAGGGAACAATAGGCCCCACAAATAGCCAGTTTCCCAAAATAGCGCTAACAGCAAGCGGGAAGATACAGGCCGCTGCCAGAGACAATGCAGTGTGAGACTTGAAATTTTCCCAGGAATTCTGTGTGATTCCAGATTCTTTTTTCTTTCTTTTTTTTTCCTAGCTCATCGCAGACCAACAGGCTCGAGGAAGGGCGAACTCCCGCAAGGCGCTTCGGTTTATGGCCATGTGTGCGCCATGTGTTAAGGTGTTGCCCTGACGGGTCTGCCTGGGCTCGCCCCAAGCCCGTGGGGATGCGCTTCTTGCCGCAGCTGCTGGGTGTCTTTTTGTTTGCATCACAAGCCCCCTCCATCCCTCCTCTCCTCCACCCACAATGCACCTCTGCAATTTCCAGGCTCTTCAAGGAGGGCTCTGTGCTCTGACCGTGGGGTCAGGCTGCGTTATGGGCAGAGGGGGAATGAGAACGGAGTCGGGAGGACCAGGGACCAGGATAAGAACCTGAGGGACACGGAGGCAGCCCACCCCTCCTCTCTGGGTGGGTTTGGGTGGAAATGGAGACTCACTGGTCAGGATGAAATTTGGCGATGCAGGGGCCAGGAGCCTGCTTGGAGACGGAGGGACAGGGACTGTTTAAAAGAACTGACTGCAACTTGTAGCTCTGCTGTCTCAAGCAAGCCACTAAAAGGCTTTCAGTGACAATTTTCTGCTGTAAGGTGAAGACGACAGTTTCCTGTTCATCTCACAAGGCAGTTATGAAGTCTGAGAGTTGGAATATTTAAGGATGCAAAAATGCACCCCATGGGTGGGGAAGGGCGGTGGGGCTGATGTCCCTGCAGGTGGCTGAGGGCTGGGTGTCCAAGGCTCACAAGGCGTGTCACATTCCATGAAGCACGGGGAATCCTGACACCATGTCTGTGGGACTGGCTGGGTGGTAGGCAGGGTGGTGAGGGGCTGCTGAGCAGTGTATTAGTCTCTGTGGGCTGCGGTAACAAAACACCACACACTGTGTGGCTTGAAAAACACAGCCTTATGTTCTCACAGTTCTGGAGGCTGGAGGTCCGTGATCACGGAGCTGGAAGATTGGTTTCTGGTGAGGCCTCTCTTCTGGCTTGTAGGTTTGTGTAGGTCCTTCTCTCTGTGTCTTCATGTGGCCCTTTCTCTGGGCATGCACATGGAGAGACATGGCTTCGGTGTCCCCTCCTCTTCTTAGGACACCAGTCCTACAAAATTAAGGATGACCCTTGTAACCTCACTAACTTTTATCACCTCCAAACCCTGTAACACTGAGGGGTAAGGCTTCAGTCTGTGAGTGGCTGGTGTGTGCTACGGGGACGAGGGAAGGGAACAGAAGTGGACAAGTGGCTGCTCTTCCCGTCTCTGTATCCCAAAGGTTCTCAAACCGTCCCACCAACTTCCCAGATCGGCCTGGCGACTGCTCTGCCATGTCACTTTCTAGGCTGCTGCTCTAGGTTACATCCCACTCCCACCACCAGTCCCGCCGCAAGGCCGGCTCTGCCCACAGTGCTCACAGAACCCTCACCTGGGAAGCCCACTCTGCCTGGGGCCGGGTTCCCACCTCTTTAACTTCGACTCCGTGATGGGAAACCTGGGTGTCCACTTGTCCGTATCCTGGGGTACCTAGAGAACTGAGAAAGCATGGCTTCCGGGTGAGTCTGGAGACAGGGTGTGACTTGGTGCTGAGTGCAGAGGGCCAGCCCTCGTGTGGGTGGACACCCTCCAGTCTGCTGGAGGCCTGGAGAGGGAGGCCAGAGGATTTGGGCTCTCTCCTGGGCGTGCTCCTCCTCCTGGCCTTGGACTAGAACTTGATACTCCCTGGCCTTGAGACTGGCTCTCCCTAGCCCTCCCACTCCCCAGGGCTCTCAGGCCTTGGACCTCAGAACACAACACGATCGGCTTCTCTGCTTCTGGGGTTTGGGATTTGGACTGTCACGGCACAGGCACCCCAGGGGCTCCAGCTTCCCCTGCCCCACAGGGGGCTTCTCGGCCCCCATCATCCTGTGAGCCAATCCCCCTGACAGCCCCCTCTGCTTTAGGCAGCTTTCTCCTGTTGTGACTAACAGGACGCGGCCAGAACAACCTTAGAGGAAGAAAGTTTATTTGAGGGCTCAGGGCTTCAGGGACTCAGTCCATAGACAGCTGGCTCCGTTCTCAGAGCTCCAGGTGAGGCAGGACACGGCGGAAGAGTGTGTGCAGGGAAGAGGCTCACATGATGACCAGGACAGAGAGAGAGCTCCTCTTGCCAGGTTCAAAGCCACGTCCCCGGTGCCCCACTCCTCCCGCCACACCCCACCTGCCTTCAGTTACCCCTCAGCTAACCCATCTGGGATGAGTTCACAGGTTAGGGCTGTCTCAGCCCCATCATGTCCCCTCTGAACCCTCTGGCAGTCTACATGTGAGCTTTTGGGGGACACCTCACATCCAAACCACAGCACCCTCTCACTTAGCTGTGAGTCTCCTATTGGTTCTGTCTGAATGGAGAACCCTGCTTCAGCCCCAACCCTACCCAGCCTCCTCCTGCCTAGTCCCCAGCCTGGACTCGGTGCTCCCGCAACCCCGGACACTCTCCTATCTTACCTTCTTTCGACTCCTCTGGTCCAAATGCCCGCCCCAGGCTTCCTGCACACCCCTGTCCACTCCATCCATCTCCTCCCTCTAACTCCAGGACCCACGGTGAACGTGGAGTCAGATGGAGCCCTCCTCCTTCCCCAGCAGGGAACACGTGACCCCCTCCTCACACCCCACGCTGCGTGGCAGACATAAGTGATTAGTTCCCCCGTGTGCATGGATCCCACGTTCTGCAAAGACAGACACGCTCCTCCTCGCCACTGATCTGCAGC